GAAGATTAGAAGCAGCTGACTTCATATCCAGCCTCTGCCCCGGTACAAGCAAACAGAAATGTCAGCTGAGTTTCTGACTAAGGACGGCATTAAATGTTATGATGCAACACTAAACTACAGGTAGTTATTACTACAAATAAGGCAGATACTTATTACTACTGCACAGTAAATAACAGGCATTCATAATTTCCTCAACAGAGGATAAAAGTGCATATAGAACATTTTAGAAAACTTGCATTAAATGTTTTGTGTTTTGCTACAGACAGGGTTAAGTTCTAGTCACATGGAAAATTAATTTATTTGTAATATCTAAATTCTCTGACAATTCCAGAAAAAAAACAAAACAACAAAAACCCTGTAGCTTATTTTATTATGACCCTCAGTTCATACATGTTTAACTGTTTTCAAAACATGATTGCTTCTTATCTACAACATATTTTATAGTGCCAAACTTCTTGAGAGAGCGGTCTACACATGTGGCTCCCAAGCCATGTGTTGCTTACTGGTACCAGTCCGTGGCCTGTTAGGGACCTGGCTGCAGAGCTCTGCCTCTCCCCCCTCCCCCACCCCTCCAATTTGTCCGTGGAAAAATTGTCTTCCCTGAAACTTAGGAATGGAGGGGGTGCACAGCAGGAGGTGAGCAAGTGAGCTGCGGGCCAGTGAGCATATTTACAGCCATTCCCCATCGCTTGCATCACCGCCTGAGCTCTGCCTCCCACCCTGGCCGTGGAAAAATTGAAATTGTCTTCTATGAAATCTGTCCCTGGTGCCAAAAGGTTGGAGACCATCTACACCCATTGTCTCAGTGTCTCCATATTCTGCAAACAGAGGTGTTTAAGTGCCCTTGTCTCTCTCCTCAAGTACTTTTGCCAGGGTTCCCTCATGATCTACTCAATTGCCAAATTCCAGGGATTTATGTCAGCCCTTTCCTGCCTTCACCTGACCTCTTAGTAGTATCTGATAATACTGACTGTTTCCTTCTTAAGATGTTCTTCCCTCTTCCCTCTCCCTTGTCTAAATCACTGAGATTCTACCTTTTGATTTCTTCTTTTTTCCTCTGGATTTTTCCTTTAGGTAATCCACATTAACATGGTTTGAAATTGCATTTTCCAAACACCTACCTTGAGCCAAACTTCTGTCTCAGGCTCTTCTATTATCTCTTCAACAGCAGGAGAAATATCAGCCCTATTTCCCCTACATTTGTTCCAGAGCCAAAGTCATTCTACAAGACCTTTGGTGAACATCTCCCAAAGCAGAAACTGAGCATACTTGCACTGTAAGTTCCAGCTGGAGAGTTTAAGAGCCTCGCTAGTGCTATGTAAACTCCTGTTGTCACTTTTCTCCCTCTACTTTCTCCCTGCCCCACCCCTAAGTGTGTATTGAAAGAAAGAAAAATGGATCTGCCTACTTTAGGACCTCTTTCCAATCCTTCTACCAGGGCCTGGCTTATTTTAGGAACTTTAGATAATAAAGAAAATTGTAAAAATGGAAATTATTTGAAATACAACAGACCCATCAGAAATAAGAAATAACATGTAACATCTGGGTTTTGTTTGGTTTGTTTGTCTTTACCCAGATGTGGTTATGTAGGCCTTTGAGATTTTTTTTTTTAAGAAAGAAAAGATTAGCACCAATAATATTTTCTCAAACTCTAAGATGCTTCACTTAAACTATTTTTAAAGAATAATTATGTGATTTAATGTCATTTTATTAATAATCAGAAAAAAGTTTAGTCAAATTAGTTAAGAAATATTTTAAATATCTCTTAGTTGATAATAAAAGCATTAAAATTGATATATTTGGCTGCTTTGAGTTTTCCAGGTTTTTTTTAATCTTAAAACTTCCATTCCTCTTACCTTTGTATGCTTTCTAATAAATTCAACAGAAACAGGGACCATTCTGTCAAATAAGCCTATTATAAACTCCTTCTGAATAGCACTAATTGAGGCAGGTAACAGATTCACCCAAGACAACATCAGTGGTCTCCAGCCTAACATGTGAGGCTCCATGTAAATCATACCACATCTGGAAACCTGGAAAAACAATTGTTTACCATCAAGGCAATGTCTATAAAAGAAATATGACTTGGCACATCTGTTTTTTACGATATTCAAAAAAGTCTTGAAAAAAGCTTAATTTTATATAATTTCATGTTCTTAATTTTTTTGTATAACTTTACCAAATGATCCTAAACAAAGAGGAAAACATCCTGTTAAATTTGTCAAAGTATGTTAACAGATACGTATATTATTTGAGAATCACAGATCGCTCTTAAAATCAATTCTACTAATATTTTTAATTTAAAGTCAAAGCTCCTAATAGATACATATATAACATTTCACAATTTATAAGAAGATGTCAAAGTGGGGAACTTACAGTGGCAGGAGAAGCAACTTCTAAATCCATCGGTTCAAAAATAAGATTCATTTGTGGTGACATCTGAATAATCTCTCCACTCATCAGACATAGCTTTTTGTTGTCATCCAATACAGTATTCATATTCTCAATCCATACTGCATCTACTGGTCCATCAAAAATTAGCCACTTCCTATCTGGAGTCTATTTTATGCATATAGAGAATAAAGGGCAAAAACATAATGACAATGTAAGGAAACCATTCAATAGTATTATTTCAAAATTTAAAAACATGACTCCTAGAATTAATTTCACCATGGTAATACAAAGGTACCCTTTAAAT